CTGGAGAACTTATTGACGACCCACCTGGATTGGCACCTATCGACCCCGACCACGACATGGAGCCTCCAAGGACGACGCCAGCATCAGCACCCTCGGCCAGGCCGGGGGACACCCCTGCTGGCCGTACATCCGCAGAGGACGCCTTGGATGAGCAAATAGTACGAGCTATGATTCAGGAGACCAATCGCAAAGCAGATGATAAAGAATGGTTAATTGCATTGTCACATTGTCGTGAAGCTCTTCGACCAATCACATCAAAGATCATGCAAAAAGATTGGGATCGTCGTCCTGCATTTAACGATGTTCGAATGGGCGACTTCATTGTCATTAAGAATTGGGGTTCTACCAAATGCTTCCACTACGACAACCGCTGGCCCAAAGGCAATCACAATACCAAGATTGCCTTGTCCAAGGGACACATATATGGTCCAATCATCCATTTCGGCGTCTTCGACAAATTCTTTGCGGTACAAGTACCTATTCTCAACTACGGTTTACGATGGGTAGATATCTGGTATAATGACAAAAGCATGCCCCTCAAGGGCGTCGTATTTGCATTACCGATTCGTATCGAAGAACACGCCATCGATCCAACATGGATGGAGACTGTCCTGAAAGGCCCGACATCATGCAGCGAGGAGATACTGCAGCACAAGGTTAGCGGCAGCTTACCATACCTTGGAATGCCTAGCATCCATAGACCACGTATTCCGCGTACACCGCCAAGAAGGCCCGCTCCACGGACACCTGATCCAGACGAGCTGGTGGCCACACCTGCCGAGGGCAACGCTCAGACGGGCGACGTTCCTCGACAGGGTACAGCATCGTCGCATGATCCACTGATCACCGTAATCGTAGACATATCAAATATCGCTCTTACTGCCGATGAGAAAGCTGCGAACGACAACATGAGAGCAGACCTCTCGGCAGACATCCAAGCAGAAGAGCAGATTGAGGCAAGCATCCTCGATAACATCATTGATCCGCCATCGAATTTCCTTGACCATCCAGATTACGACCCCGACGAGGATTCAAGATGGATTAGACAGTCTGATGATTGCCGCGTGTATTGTTGGACATCGGCGTTATTGGTGGATTCGCCTATGATCAATATGAAGCAGATCATCGAGCTACACAGTGGCGCAGACAGAATCGTAATGGACAAAAATCAGCTACATTTACAATTTGAAAGTCGATTTGGATCGAGAGCATGGAATGCGGAGTCATATCAATTGAACTACAATCATACCCACAAATGGGCACGTGACTTACCCAATTGTGGTGCAGATCATTTCTTCAAAAAGTTGGTACACTACCTCGACCCAGAGACTATCGAGGAGTCGACCACAGGCATCTTTCAATGGATTTCCAAAGTATACCAGAACATCTTGAAATATAGCATTGTGGAACTACCAGATTTCGCCAAGGAAGTCATCCATGAGAACCATCCTGCACTTCAGGCATTGCGTGATCTATTCAAAAATTGTACTGCGACATACGGTAATCCAGATTTTCCTGTGTGGGAAGAGCTGGTGGAAACACCTCTGCGCCTCGAGAGGAAGGCGCTGAGCAGGATATTCCCCAGGACCCAGGCAGTGTTGCGTCTGCAGCTCCCGATCAGGAGACTATGGTACGTATCATAGCCGAGCAGACGGGACTCAAGCGCGAGGAGGGCGACAACGAGGCTACCTTGCAGAAGCAGGCTCGCCGTCTTCGTGAGGAGAACGTATGCCATGGCGGTGCTGAGGATACCGACAACGTCAAGATAGAGTACAAAGGACTGCCAGGGGAAAGGTTATCTCGGATCGAGATCGAGGGTTTAAGCAGATCGATCGCTTCCAGACCAAACACCGAGATCAATCGTGAGGCGATCAATCAGATCGGTCAGAGCCTCGCTCGCGGTCAGGACACCCGCTGGGGATCCCGCGATCACCTGACTTCGGCTGGGGCCCCCGAGACGATCTTGCATCCCATACCGCTCTGTCACAATTGCGGTCGAGATCTATCCCTCGGGATCGTCACAGGTGACGGCGCACTCTGTGATATATGTTGGCAATACACTGTGGCCGTAGGCGCCACAGGTAAGGGCACCGCCACACAGAGTGACCTCGCGTACCTCCAGAAGTTGACGAACTGGATCAAGACGACGTTGTCCGAGGACCAGGTCGCGAGATACATGAAGGATGGCGCACGCGTCATTATGACGGGTGCGCGATCACACATAGGCACAGAGAAAGATCAGTTGCGAAGATTGGCCAATGCGTCCAAAAAGAGGTATCAGAAGTGGGTCGAAGCCGGTAGCCCGCCTGCACACGAATGCAGATTAATGGGCGAATCCGAGGACGACCGACCTCTGTACTACCCATTCGCCAATCTCATACAACGCTTTCTCAACGACCTCAAGTTCCATCATCAGATGACAGGCGCCCGCGTGAATGTCGGCAAGAAGCCCTGGACCGTCGAGGACATGCGCGACGCGTGGGACATCCTTGACGTCAGTATTAGGACAGGACAGGCTGGTCGGAGAAAGTGGTGGCTGAACGAGGGACGCATTGACAGGCAGACGCGGCAGGCGCGCGGACTGATTACGGTTTCTCTCCCTCGAAGGGACGGAACCCGTGAACAGTTCACCCAGCGCAAGCTTGCCGCGATTGCCAACGAACTGATAGGCTCCCTCGATCCGTCACACACCGACCAGAGGGGGGGTAGTACAGGGATGAGAACCGATCCAGATACACACTCCCAACAGTCCGATGACGCCATGGAGCCGCGGCCGCCGCCGCGCCCGCCGCCGCGCCCTGCTCCTGGCGACGCCGCTGCATCCAGCGCCTCAGGCGCGGAGGACTACATGCCCGCGATGCCGCGCGCCAAGAGAGCACGTACATCTGATTACGCTGCTTACTGGCGCCACAACCTCGAGGACAGCGATTGGGGTCTTCGATGCTGGAGTTACTACATCACATGTTGGATCTACATTGCGATCAACAACGACGAGTATGTGTACATCCAGGATATCATGGGAAACGTTTACGACAAGCTACGTGACGCACAACGGCCAGAGGGTGTGGGGCCGCAGGTTCTACGAGGACGGCGACGCGTAGTGAGTCGGCCGCAAGGCCCACTGCTCAAGAGCAGAACTTCCTTTCATCAAAGTTCGCCTTGAGCGGTGGCTAATCTATTCTTTTAGGCCACTTCAATCATTCCAACAAGTGGCCGTACACACATATATATATGCCTTTTGCGATCACCGAGGCAGCCTCCTAAGGAGCAGCGCCAACGGGAGTCGCCAAACAGATTTTTATACATCTCTTTTCGTGTTCATCAACGCGACATTTTGTCTGGCCAGACACTTGCTTTACACAGATTTGCGTTTCTTTTCAGAATCGTGTTCGTCAACGCGATCTTAGCATTCATTTATTTTTAGGCAGACTTGCGTTTCATTTCAAGATTGTGTTCGTCAACACGATCTTAGCATGCATATTTTACCAATTTGACCGATATTGCGTCGAGAATAATCTGCTTGCTGGTGGCAACACCTGCCTCGCAAATCTTGCGAGGCAGATTGCATGTTGCCTTGATGCTCAGATCTACTTTCTCCGCCTACCCTTGTTTCATTCTTCCCCTCCCTCGAGTGCCGAAGCGTTTTGGGGGGCGCACCGAGGGGGCGCCAACGTGCGCCTGGGGATGAAAGGGAGACTTAGGGTATCTCTTCTTACCTCACTTTGCAGCTGTGGCTTCGCTGTTTTTTAAGCCTCAGCTGCCTTTCTGACTTAAGGACTAAAGGAGTTCAGAGGTTACGGATTCCTATCCTCTGTTCCCGAGTCCTGCCTTCACGGGCGGGATTCGGGACGGGGGGTGTGGAAGGAACCCGTGTAATACCCTCATATATACTCCTTATCCTTACCTCTCCCGCACCTGGCCGTTTGGGCTCAGGTATTGAGTTGGAGCGATCGTACCTTGATCGCGTGGGAGGGAAAGATATCCATCTATCCCTCCATCTCTCTACCAACGGACCAGGGGTTCTGTGCCCTTGTACTTCAACCCCATACACACGCAGGTCCTAGTGCGCCGCAAGGCCTTGATCTGCGAGACTCGCGCGCTGGGGGCTTCCATGGCGCCCTTGGGGGTGCCGGGAAATCGCGGTGCTCTCTTGGCTGGGATGGAAGCATGGGGTCTGCGCGGCCCGCCGCGGGGGGAGGTAGTCATGCTCTCTCCCCGCGCGTTCCCCGCGCTTGCCGCCGCCGCCGCCGACGCTGCCCGCCGCTGTGATGGATTGGCTCATGGGCCGGGCCGAGGATTGCGCGCTGCTCGCGCGCGCGGGAAAGGAAACATTCGGGTCGTCGGTTCGCCGTCGCTCTCTTCTCTTGTGCGCCGAAATATAGCGTCGCGGATCCATCATGAGCAACGGTGCCCATATCACACCATTGCCACTTAACTTTCTTTTGCAGGGAGTTATGATTCTCTGGCGAATGAACTTCTCGGATACCTCGAATGGGCAAGGGAATCATTTCGATCCTGTGGACATCGAATCTCGAAAATAGGACCCTCCCCTATGGTCGAGCCTCCCCGAACCTCGAGCCTCCCCGATCCCGCTCCAGCCTCTCCGAACCTCGAGCCACCCCCTGCAGCGTCGTGGGCCCCCATCGCTGGAGGTGCCCCCCTGGCGGCAGTGGTGGCTGGCGTCGCCTTTCCCTTCTCCGGGTCGGGGCGGTCTGGCGTCGACGTCTTCTGAAGGGGGCGATCGGGGGGGGAGGGCTGGCTCAGGGGGGAAAGTCGACTTTCGAGGCCCGTAGAGATCCGACAAGGGTTGCCAAAAGGCTGCCGTCGATCCTCGGACCTCGATCCTCGAACCTTGATTTTTGATCTTCGAACCTCGACCCTCGAACTTCAGATTTCGACCTCCGAATCTCGACCGCCGAATATTCGAATCCCGTCGAGATCCTTGGTGCCCTCGGACCCTGACCACAAGCGCCCCCCGCGCGCGCATTCGGCCTCCGCAGGAGTCGGCCGCGCCCCGGGCCTCGCCGCCGCAGTCCGCCCGCAGCCGCCCAGCGTCCGCCGCGGGCCGGCCGCCGTCCGCGGGCCGGCAGAGGCCGCGGGGCGACCGGAATGGGCATCACCGAGCGCGCTCCGCGGTTCGCAGAATGCCAGCTCGCAAACGTCTGAAAGATACGTGCTTGCCCCGGTGCGGAGTGGATCGTGCACCCCCCGCGGCGGATCCAAGCTATTTGCGAGCAGTCTTTGTTTGCGGACACTGGGACGCGCTTGTCCAGGGTAAGGAAAAAGAGAAATGGGTACAAAGGCCGGCGGCAGTTCGTTGTTCGTTTTGAGCATGACTCGCCGTCGGTGCGTTGTCCATCCGAGGCAGAGGGCCGCCTGCCCAACAGCGGCCGTTGTTGATTTCGCAAAGAACATTGCGGTTGGGCCGCGTACCTCTTCTCTTCCGTACCCATTCCGTGGCATCGCTCGGACGTGTGCCATCCTTTTTTCGGCGGGGACCATCGAGGAACATCTGAGATCGAAGAAGACAAATCGTTATAAAAATAACCTTTGGCGATCCGCGCGGATCCAGAAAATCCGAGGAACGGACGCCCGAACCATGGCAGGATTTTCGGGGCGTCCACGAGGCCCGCGCGGCCGCCGTCGGCTACGCCAAGCGGCGCTTCGGGCGCGCAGGCTCGGCCCGGTCGAAGCGAGTGTTCCGCGCTGCTCTATCCGAAGCGCGTGAGTGAAACCGGAGGAAATCATATGGGAGCTGAAAAAAAACGGGGTCGTGCGCGTGAGCTACCCGTGTCAGGCCGCGCGTAAGTGTTTCGCTTCAAGTGTGGCGTTGCCGCGCGGGCGGCCCGCGTAAGCCACCGCGTAAGGTCGGGGGCGGAAAAGAGGGGGGTGATGACTAGGGGGGGGTGGATATCATGGCGGGGGCCATGAGATTTCCCCAGATTTCACTTCTCCTTTTCTCATTTCGTTACGTCCCTGGCCCCCCCGCTGGGCCGCGCACGTGCCGCCGGTCATGATTTGCACCCCCCCCTTCTTGAACACCCCCCTTTTGGCCGCTCCCGATGAGGTCGCTGTGCCATCTCGCGTGGGGTCCTTTTTTTGGATCGTCGACCGTATGGCGCCAAGGCACCGAGCGAAGCGGGCACTTGTGGAGCGGGTGCTTATCAGGGGGGGGGGCGACTGGCCTTCCAACGGGGTTTGCTCCTCCCGCCCTTCCGTCCCTCCTCCTCCCTTCCTCCCCTCGTCCTCTTCCTCCGTCCTCCCTTCCCTCCCTCCCTTCCTACCTCCTCCTCCCTTCCCTCCCTCCTCCTCCCTTCCTCCCCTCCCTTCCCTCCCTCTTCCTCCTCCTCCCTTCCTCCCTTCACCCCCTCCCTCCTCCCTTCCTCCCCTCGTCTTATGTCGGGCGTGTCCCCCTACAGGGGGATTTTCGACGACAAATAAAACATACCCCCAAAATACCCCCAACTGGCAAACAAATAGTCAAAAAACAGTCCCCATACTATTTTTGGACAATTTTTTGAATTTTTTTGGGTATTTTTATTTTTTCGTCGAAAATCCCCCTGTAGGGGGACAGGCCCGACTTCACCCTCGTCCTCTTCCTTCAACCCCCCCTCCGCCTGTTCCGGCAGCGCGTGCCCAAGTCCCGTCGCGGATCCAGGAGGTCGGGGGGCGTTTGGTGCCCCATCGGAGTGCGTTAGGATGCAACCCCCGAGAGGTTGAAAATTCAGATTCGGCGCTGGCATATCCCTAGTCGAAAGCTGGCCCAGTCTGGTTTCATTCCGCCTAATCCAGCTGAGTCCCGCTCAGTCCGGCTTAATCCTGCCCAATCCGGCTTAGTCCCAAGCTTAATCCAGCTTAATCCGGCTCAGCGGCCCCTTGATCGGGCTTCATATCCCTTCATCGTTTTGACGAAGACCTCCAGCGTCTCGTGAATGAGTCACGACGTTCGGGCTTTCGCTGTTTTCGACCTCTAGGGGCCCTCGCTGGGCCTGGGACCGTTGAACAACGGCCCGGCATGAAAAAAAGACAGCCCTTGGGAAAGGGTCGGGGGCTCCTTTGTCGTGCCACCCTCGCAGGGCTTGAGGGCGAAGGTTTGGAGCTCTCGACGGCATAAGTGCCCAGGAATCGCAGCGCCCGTCTACCTGCACCTCCGGGCTTCTAAGGCCCCGATCTGGCAGGACAGATCTCCAAGCGAAGCTCGAGGTGGTGTTTGCAGCAGCCGCGCGCGCCTCGAGGACGCGGCGCCCCCCTGCATTCCTGTCTGCAGGCCCAACCCGCACGCGTGAGGAGTCCGCGAGGCGAATGCAAAAACAACAAGTCGGGACTTCCTGGGACCCCGCATCGAATCAGGACCTCGAATGGCCGGGAGGGGGTGAAAGGTCCAGATGTCAGGTAGGGGGCACGCAGGACTCGAGTTTGCCAGAACTCGGGTTTGCCAACGCTTTTTGACGGGCCCGTCTTGAGCTTAGACGGTCCAGTTTTCGTCGGATGTTTGCAGCGAGAGTTAGCATCAAATTTCAGCCTGTTTTTTCTGACGGCCCCGTCAGGCCAACTCGAGTCGTACGTCTCCCCCATGAGAGGAGTTCCGTTGAGACAGCGGTAGTTCGATTTCGGGGGGGCTCCTCTCGTCCCCACGGCTGGACACTCCCTGAGATCCAGGCGATGCAATTTTTTCAAACCGTGCGCTTTCGCACAGCCTCGGGCCCTGGGCCCCTCACATATGCATCCGGCTCGAGAACTGCCGCAGGCAGATGGGGTCCAGAGCTCCAGTCATGATTTTTAGCGATGTTGCATTTGTTTTGCAACGTCAGATCTCAGGGCTTCGCGATTCCCTCGATTTCCGCGCGCGCCGACCCAGGACAGAACTGCGAGGATCGAACTTCGAGGATCGTTGAGACAGCGGTGGCTGGACTTCGGGGGGGCTCCCTCGTCCCCAGGGCTGGGCGCTGCTCGGGAGGCTGGTGCGGTCTTGGCCCCCGATGGGGTCTGGGGATCGACCTCTGTGCCTCGCGCAGCAGGGGGGCGGCAGCGAGGGCTGCAGAAGAGGGCCCTTATCAGGGCCCCTGATAAGGGGCCCCGACAGGGGGCCCACAAGGGGGCCTAGAGGTTCCGAGGGGTGCACTTTTTTCTTCCCCCCCATTCGTCGCCCCGCCCCATCCAACAATCTACTAACCAGTTGTTCTGATCGCCATTCAAGTCGGCCTGCAAATAGATGCAGATAGCGTCTGTTGAACGACAAGACCTTGAGCTGCCGCTGTCTCCTGGGCATCTCGAGAGCAGGCTGCGCTCGCATCGGCGCCCCAGCATGCGCAGCGAACCCGGTGCACCATCCCTGTCAAAAACAATACAAAATACACTTGGCGGCGGCGGCGGCGGCGGCTGCGGCGGCTGCGGCGGGGGCAGCGGCTGCGGCGGCTGCGGCGGTGGCGGCGGCGGTGGGGCGGCGGCGGCGGCATCCGCGTGCCGTGAAAGAGTCAGGACGGTAGGTTTTTGGCTGTTTTCAGCCTCCTGGGGGGCCCTCGCCGGGCCCCGGGGCCGCCAAAGAAGGACTCGGGGTGAAGATCCGGTCCCGGGGAAGGGGTCCAGATCTCCGAGGGTCACGTTGCCCCAAAAACGCAACGTCGGATGTCTGGGGATGGGTACGGACAGACCGGGGACGCAGACCGACAGCCGTCCCTGTCCATTTTGAACAGGACTCGCTGCGAGCGCCTGGTGCGTTTGAGGCAAACGCAGAAAGTGCGCCAGTGGATCTCCCTGAATACATTAAAGCAGGGAGGGGTTCCAGAACCCCCCCCCCCTCCCCCCTTTCAAAAGGGTGGGGGGTTCAGCCCCCCCCCCCCTCCCTCTTTAAGGGGAAGGGTTCCCGACCCCCCCCCCCCCCTCCCTCCCTTGAAGGGGGGGGGGTCCGGACCCCCCCCCCCTTGCCCCCCTTGGCGCTGGGAATGGGGGGGGGTCGGACCCGCCCCTCGTGTAGGGAGTACGGAGTTGGGAGTAGGTAGTGGTGAGCAGTGAGTAGCGAGTTAGTGCGTAGTGAGTAGTGAGTATTGGGTAGTGAGTAGTGGGTAGTGAGTGGCGAGTAGGGAGTAGGGAGTAGGGAGTGGGGAGTAGTGAGTCGTGAATAGTGAGTAGTGTGTACTGATAAGTGAGTCGTCAGTGGCGAGTAGTCAGAAGTGAGTAGTGAGTAGCGAGTAGCGAGTAGTGAGTACAGAGTACCCGAGAAGGGAGTAATGAGTAGTGGGTAGTGGGTAGTGGGTAGTGAGTAGTGGGTGGCGAGTAGTGCTAGTGAGTAGTGAGTAGTGGGTAGTGCGTAGTGCGTAGTGAGTAGTGAGTAGTGAGTAGTGAGTAGTGAGTACTGCGTAGTGAGTAGTGGGTAGTCAGTAGTGAGTTGTGAGTAGTGAGTAGTGAGTAGTGAGGAGTACGTAGTGCGTAATGAGTAGTGATTAGTGAGTAGTGATGAATAGAGACTGGTGGGTAGTGGCAGTGGGTATAGTGAGTAGCGAGTAGGGGGTACCGAGTACTGAGTAGTGAGGAGCGAGTAAGGCGTAGTGAGTAGTGAGTAGTGAGTAGAGAGTAGTGGGTAGTGATTTCTGAGTAACGAGTAGGGAGTAGCGAGTAGTGAGTAGTGCGTAGTGAGTAGTGAGTAGTGAGTAGGGAGTAGCGAGCAGTGAATGGTAAGAAGTGGGTAGCGAGTTAGTGGGTAGTGAGTAGCGATTGGTGAGTACTGGGTAGTGGGTAGTGAGTAGTGACTAGTGACTAGTGAGTTGTGACTAGTGAGTAGAGACTATGTTGTGACTAGTGAGTAGGGAGTAGTAGATAGTGAGTAGTGAATAGTGAGTAGTGAGTATTGAGTAGCGAGTAGCGAGTAGTGAGTAGTGAGTAGTGGGTAGTGAGTAGTGAGTACTGAGCAGTACGTATTGCGTAATGAGTAGTGAGTAGTGAGTAGTGATGAATAGAGACTGGTGGGTAGTGGCAGTGGGTATAGTGAGTAGCGAGTAGGGGGTAGCGAATAGTGAGTAGTGAAAGCGAGTAAGGCGTAGTGAGTAGTGAGTAGTGAGTAGAGAGTAGTGGGTAGTGATTACTGAGTAACGAGTAGGGAGTAGCGAGTAGTGAGTAGTGGGTAGTGAGTAGTGAGTAGTGAGTAGGGAGTAGGGAGTAGCGAGCAGTGAATGGTAAGAAGTGGGTAGCGAGTTAGTGGGTAGTGAGTAGCGATTGGTGAGTACTGGGTAGTGGGTCGTGAGTAGTGACGAGTGACTAGTGAGTTGTGACTAGTGACTAGAGACTATGTAGTGACTAGTGAGTAGGGAGTAGTAAATAGTGAGTAGTGAATAGTGAGTTGTGAGTATTGAGTAGCGAGTATGGGAGTAGCGAGTAGTGAGTACTGACTATTGTGTAGTCAGTATTGTGTAGGGAGTAGGGAGTAGCGAGTAGCGAGTAGTGGGTAATGAGTAGTGATTTGTGGGCAATGAGTAGTTAGAAGTGAGTAGTGAGTAGTGGATAGTGGGTAGTGGGTAAGGAGTAGTGATTAGTGAGTAGTGAGTAGGGGGTAGTGAGTAGTGCTTAGTGAGTAGTGAATATTGAGTAGTGGGTAGTGAGGAGTGAGTAGTGACTAGGGAGGAGGGAGTAGTGAGTAGGGAGTAGTGAGTAGCGAGTAGTGGGTGGTGGGTAGTGAGTAGTGGATAGTGTGCAGTGAGTCGTGAGTAGTGAGCAGGGGTAGTGAGAAGTGAGTAACGAATAGCGAGTAGTGAGTAGTGGGTAGTGAGTAATGAGTAGTGAGTACTCTTTGGGGCTGGGGTTAGTGGTTGGGGTTAGGATTAGGGGTTTGGGTTAGGGTGAAGACTGAGGGTAGGGGTGGCAGGGGTCGGGTTCCGGAGTCAGGGGGCGGCGTGGCGAAAGGGGGGGAAGGGGGGGGGGTCGGACCCCCCCCCGTTTTTGAAGGGGGGAGGGGGGGGGGGTCCCCGACGACGGGTTGGGGAAAGGGGGGGGGGGTCCCCGACGACGGATCGGGGAAGGGGGGGAGGGGGGGGGTCCCCGACGACGGATCGGGGAAGGGGGGGGGGGGGGTCCTAACCCCCCCCCCTCTACCCCTCCCCCTTGGGGAGATCCAGCGGCGCACCCTCGCAAACGCATCGCCCTCGGATTTGACACTGATTCGACCCACGTGGATGCGACACGGATGGCTGGCGCGATGGGATAGACGACGTCTCCTTCAGCAAATATGTAACATCACATTTGCTTTTGGTCGGCGGCTCGCCTGGGGTGAAGTGAGAAGGGGGCAAGCCTGCAGAGAAGGTGATGGGGTTTCTAAGAAGCCCCCCGGCCTTGTGAGAAGCCGCCTCTTTTTCCAGAGAAGGCTTAGAACCCTTCTCAGAAGGCCGGAGGCCTTCCGAGCCCTCTGAGAAGGCCTGTCCCCTCTGGCTTCCCCCCCGGGCTCGCCGCCGATTTTCCGAGGAGGGCATCGACTGCAGAATTGGTCTACTTCAAGTTCAAAGTTTCGTCTTTCGTCAGATTTGTACTGTGCAGATCCGATGAACATTTGAACTTGTGACATCGTGCGCATCGTCTCCGTAGATGTACGAACGTTCTCGGCAACCCGAAAATATTCTCGGGGTTCATCAGTTCTGCAGTTGGATCTCCCACACGAAGGCTGGGCGTCGCGCCCATTCTCAGGAGGGGAAAAAACATACAGACACAATGAATCGTCGATTCCCCAGAAAATATGGGATTACCCCAGTGCGACCCTATCTAGAAATTGGAGCCCCTAGGAAAGCAGCATTAGTTGCTATGCTATGCTATGCTATGCCATGCTATGCTGCGCTATGCTATGCTCTGCTATGCAATGCTATGCTGCGCTATGCTATGCTATGGTATGCTATACTATGCTATGCCAAGCTATGCTATGCTATGTCATGCTGCGTTATGCTCTGCTATGCTCTGCTATGCTATGCTGATCTGTGCTATGCCGTGCTGTGCTGTGCTGTGCTGCGCTATGCTATGCTATGCTATGCTATGCTATGCTATGCTGCGCTATGCTATGCTATGCGATGCTATGATATGCGATGCTGCGCTAAGCTATGCTATGCTATGTTATGCTATGCTGTGCTCTACTATTATAAAGCTTAGTAAAGCTAAGATGAAGGTAAGCTAAGCTAAGATAAAACTGAGGTAATATGAAGCTAAGCTAAGGTAAGATGAAATAAGCTAAGCTAAGATGAGATAAGCAACACGAAGCTAAGGGAACGTCACTGGGGGAACCGCGGGGCGGATGCCGGGGGAACCGCCCGGGGCGTGCCCCACTGCCCGGCCCTTTAAGCAAACAGGATAAAAACCCTTCTAGGCAGAGCCTAGGTAGGGAAATATGGGAAGTGGGGGGGAAGACAAAACATCAGAAAATATGGAAAATATGGGGCATATTTTTATTTGTGTCTATTTATTTGTGTGTCCCAGGGCCCCTTCACATTCTTCCTGCGCCCGCGTCGGGGCGTGCCCGCAGGCGTCGCAGGCGTCGGGGTCCAGCCTCGCGGCGCCCCCGGCGGCCGCGGCGGAGGGCGCCCAGAAGGCGAAGAGGCCCTTGTGGGGGAGATCAGAAAGGGCACAAGTCGGAGGTGCATGGACCTCCTGCCCTGACACGTCGATTAAGGCATTGGCCGTCTTCAGTTCGCGGGAGGGCGTCGCAGCCGTCATTTTTTGGAGGGTCCAGGTCCGTCGGTTTCGGTCCCAGGCCGTTTTCACTAAGGGGAGGATTGCTGAAGGGAGGTTTGTCCACCGCCGAACAAGCGTCCCTCGCGTCGTGGAGGGAAGCACGGCGGAGCCCAGCCACGCGCAGAGGGGGGTGGGTGGAGGGGGGGGGCTTCTTACAAGCGTCCGTGCTTCCTGTAAGGCGCGGGCCTCGTCTACAGATGTGGGGCCGCCGCCTTCCTAGGAGCAGCCTCCTTTAAGGATCCTTCCCTCCTCCCCTTACCTCTCGTTGCGCGCCGCCAAGAAGATAGCGCGGCGGAAGGTCTTTGGCTTGGGCCCCCTCCTTATCGTACCCGTTCTTAGTAGAACCGTTTAGGCATGCCGGGATTTCTCATACCAAACGCTGGGAATTTGTTTTTGGCAGCCATATTTGAAAGTCCTCGCATGCTTTCGCGCACGCCTAGCGACCGTATGCGCCAGCCTTACGTGCGTGCGCAAGGCTAAGTTGGCCTCGCAGAGTCTTAAAAAGAAAAGAGGGACCGACCAACCTTTGGTAGTTTCCGGCCTCCCCTGATCGTTGGATGCCAGATTTTTGCTGGGCGCGACCGACGGGATGGGTCGCTGCCGCTTCTGCTTCAAATCCCGGGCTCGGTCGCGCGACCGATTTGCTGCAAATCAGTCGCGACCTATCGAGAGCGAATTTGATCTGGGTCCAGTGCGGGCGCTCTCGACGGGCCCTGGGGCCTCCGAAGCACGGCTCAGGTCACAAAACGGCTCGTGCGTAGCTCCCCAGACCTCTGGAGCGCCACACACGATCTGCAAACTTCACGGCGCCAGACCTCCTGAGGCACCTGCACACACTATCTCGGAGGTCCGCGCGGGTCTCCCGGGTCGGCGCTCGTGGGCCGCCCCCATGGGCGGCACCTCCGGCGCCGCCCCCCGGCGCGGCCCCCCGGCGCGCTCCTGGCAGAGGGCTGCCAGCGCCGAGCCCAAGAACTCCGCGCAGACCTCCGACGCCTTGTGCTTACAGTCGGGGCCTTGAAGAAGGGACCCTTTTCGTTGGGGAGGGGCTCGGTGCTCCTGGATTGTTTTACAGTTTGCCTTGGGTTTTCCTTAGGTTTTCCATGGGGAATCGAAGTTTAGGTTAAGGGAAGCAGGGGCCTCGTGCCTTATTTGGGTTCCTTGGGTCAACGCCCCGACTGTATTGTGCGGCTGTGTGTGTGTGTGTGTGTACCTCCAGCTGCCGACCGCGCCTGAGGCTTCTCTGCGCCGCTGGCTTACAAAGTGTGTGTGTGTGTGTGGGTGTGTGCGTGTGTGGCTGCGTTGCTACCCTCGTCGCCTCGCGCGGGTTTTTGGGACTACAGTCCACGCGGCCTCGGAAGGGAAGGCAGGCTTGCGCTTGCTCTTCATCCACCCTGCTGGGTGCACGCTTCTTACGTGCACGCTGGCTTGCGGGTTCGTGCTTGCCCCCATCAACAATGTTAGGTGCAATTCGACATGGGAGTTCTTGCCTTTCTATCACCCGCTTTTGTTGATGTCGCACGGTCGGCGCAGGGAAAAGTGTGTGTGTGTGTGTGTGTGTTTGTGTTTGTGTGTGTGTGTGTGCGAGTGTGTGGCTACTGGCCTTCTTCGGCCTTTCATCGAAGGCGCAGTTCGTGTTGACGCGCCCCGTACTTACATGCCTGATTCGCGGCATTGGTGCCTCTTCGCGCACGGAGGTCCGGGGCGTCCAAGAGGGGTGCAGATTGTGTGGGGTGGATCTCGTGGCTGGGGCCATGACGGCCCCCTGCTTTTGGTCCCCCCTCTTCTTGTTTCAAGATGTCCCCTGGTCCACCCCCCCTGGACCGCGCAAGTGTGCCCCCCTGGCCATGCTTTGCCCCCCCCCCCCCCCCCCCCCCCCCCCCCTCTTGGACGCCCCCCTCTTGGATGCCCCCAAGGAGGAGACAGTGTGCGCAAGTGAGTGTGAGTTTGTGCAGTTGTGTGGGTGTGTCTGTTTGTGTGGTTGTGTGTATCCACGCTGCGTGAGCTGGCCCGGCCCGCGCGCTCTTGCTTGAATTGACCTACGCCGCGCCGCCGCGCACGTGTTCGCGGCGCCCAGCAATTGTTTGTGTGTGCTTGTGTTGTGGTTTCGTGGTCCCCTTCTTCTGTTGTGTGTGTGTGTGTTTGGTCGTTTTTTTTTTTTTGTTTGCCTCCTAGGCCCATGAGCGCCATGGGCTTCCTGATGCGAAACCGCGGCGGCGGCAGCAAGGGCCGGCCCTCACCCGTCAGCCGCAGCGCGTCCGACAGCGGCACGAGCACCGCCGTGTCCACCACGCGCACGGCGCCCGACGGGGCGCAGGCGCCGCGGCCCTCTGGGCGGCCCTCCCGGCGGCCCCTCGGCGGCCCACCGGCGGCCCCTCGGCGGTCTCTCCGCGGCCCATCGGCGGCAGCTTTTCTTCGGCGGCGGGGAGAGCTCAGACAACTTCTCAGAAGGCCGGGGACTCCCGAGCCTTCTGAGAATCGGCTAGACGTAAGAGTGACTTTTTTACAGGAGGGACCTGTGGTGCGGGCCCAACTGGGTCCCCCAATCGCCGAACGCGTTGCGCTATAAGCGGCTTGCGCGCTTGGGTTTGCCCCCCTAATGCCGCGCACCACAGGTCACTCTTACCCAGGGCCACTCTTGCGTATAGCCGAGAGAAGGCCCGCCCCTTCTCACTCCCCCCCCCTCCGCTCGCCGCCGCCTCTCGCGCCCGGTGGCTGTGCCCGCCTCGGGCCCCCCACGGGGCCCGATCGCGGCTCGATCCGGCTGGAGAGCTGCCGCCGAGAGCTATGGTTTTTGGGGCTCCGGCTGCGATCTCTGGCGAGCTGTTGCGACCTTTTCGCAGCGTCGGGTCCACTGGCGGCCCACATCGGCACAGATTTTCCGGAGTTCCGCGCAGGGTTCTCCTGCCGCCCCTGGAGCGCTCCGCCGGATCGAGGAGGGATGCATTCTGCGCTGGGGAGGGCGACTGACAGTCGCAGCCCAGTCGCTTACGGTCCTTCGAGTTGCGCTGTCGCGCGTTGATCCAGCGGCTTGGCATCGCTCGGACGTGTGCATTTTTCCTTCGGCGTGGACCATCGAGGAGCATCCTTGATCATTTGGCGAAAAAAACACGAACGAAACTAAAAAAACACAGGGAATGGACGTCCGAGCGATGGCGAGGCGGACCTTCCACAACTTATTCTTCTGCTGTCTGTTGTCTGCTATCCCTCTGACATCGGCGGCCCCCGGGCAGCCCATCGGCGGCCTCCCCAGAGGACGGCCGAGCGCCTTCGGAGAGGCTGTCGCCGCGAGGGCTGCTGGGAGGAGGCAGGCGAGGGAGGAGGGGAGGGAGGAGCGAGGGAGGGGAACGAAGGGAGGGGAACGGAGGGAGGGAGGAGCGAGGGAGGCGCGAGGGAGGCCCGAGGGAGGGGAGCGCAGGGAGGGGAGCGAAGGGAGGGAGCGAAGGGAGCGAAGGCGAAGGGAGGAGGCAGCGAGGGGGGGACCGAACGGAGGGCAGCGACTGGAGGCCGGTGGCACCGCGCGCCTCCGCCGCCGCGGAGAGGCCCCGGCGGCCCTCGAGTCGGCGGAGGTGCAGCTGCCGGCGAGGGAGCGCCCCTCCACCGCGCCGGGCGGCTCGGTGCGCCGCCGCCGCTCCGCTGGTCGTCTCGTCCGTCGTTCCTCCCTCCTTCAGGAGGGGAAAGAACACACACAGACGCAAGTAATCGTCGATCCCCAGGAGAGTATGGGAAGATATGGGAAGTGGGGGGGAAGACAAACCCCCAGAAGATACAGGGAAAGATGGGGAATCCTGTTAGTTGTGTCTATTTATTTGTGTGTCCCAGGGCCCCTTCACTCCTGCGGTTCCGCTTTCGTCGTCGTTGCCGGTGAGGCGTGTTGCTTATGCTCGCGGTGCGGTGAGGCCTCCGCTGACGCGGCGCCCGCCCCTGGCCAAGATGCCAGAGCGAGTCTTCGCAGGCAGCGGAGCGGAGTCGCCAGAGAGCGCCCTCGGATGTGTTCAGCCATGTTCGTTAGGGACCGCAAGCGATTCGGGATGTGGATGTTGGCCCACAACGGCTTAACCAACGCTGCTATTTCCTTCTCCTCCTCCTCCTTCTCCTCCGTATCAAGTTTGGCTCAAGTTCAAAACTTGCGACCCTGGCGCTTTGAGCTTGGTCGCTGCCGAGGAGGACTCGAGGCAGCGCCACACGGTCGACAGGCGACCCCATGGTTTCTCGTATTCCTCTCCTTTCTTACTCGGCGACCCAGCAGGCCGCCATGGCGACTGCGGGCGTTATCCGCACCATGATGACGGCTGCCCTCATGGAAAGTGGTCCGCCGACATCGCCGCCGGTCTTCGGAGTGAGGTCCAAGCGGCCGCAACAGGGCCGCAAGTTCGGTCTAGATCCAGACCTGTGGGTCCCGCCACAGGCCTGGATCTGGACCCGTGGGGCCCAAGAGCCCGCGAGGCCAGACCAGCGCGGGGCGGGAGGCTGAGCCAGGCTGGTGCAGATGACGGCTCGGGGCGCCGAGCTCGCCGCCTCCCTCCTCGCGCGGGCTCGCCTGGCGCAAAGGCGAGGTGGCCGGCAACTGCGCGGCGTGCGGCCGGAGCGCTGCCGCGCAGCTCGACCTGAGGCTCGGCTCGGGGGGCCAGGTGCGGCGGCCCCCTGCGCCCTCCGTGCGGCACGGGCCTGCACTATTGCCGCGGCGCCGCTGGCCGCATACGGCGCACTCGCTCCGCGGGAGGCCCGAAGAGGATCCCCTTGGGGTACCTTTTTGCACAGCTCGTGGTAGCGTGGCATCGGAGTACTTCTCTCGAGCAGGTGCGTGCTCCAGGACTCGGTGCACCGCCCGGGAACTCTGGCGCGTGCGCGCCGCAGCACAGGCTGCAGCGCGCCGCGGCCGACGCCGGGTAGGCGCCGCCCGCTCTCCCGCTCCTCGTCCTCCTCGTCCTCCTCCTGCTCCTGCTCGTCCTCCTCCTGCTCCTGCTCCTCATCGTGTTTCTCCTTCCCCCTCCTCCTGCTCCTCCTCCTTCTCCTGCTCCTCCCCCTCCTCCTCCTCCTCCTCCTCCTCCTCCTCCTCCTCCTCCTCCATCTCCTCCTCCATCTCCTCCTCCTCCTCCTCCTCCTCCTCCACCACCTCCTCCACCTCCTCCTCCTCCTCCTCCTCCTCCATCTTCTCCTCCTGCTCCTTCTCCTCCTCCTCCTCCTCCTGTCCTCCTCTTCCTTCTTCTTCATCTCTCTCCCATAAAAGCTCCTCTCCATTGCATCCCCAGTCGTGTCGGTAGGGCGGGCCTTGCGTTTCACCTTTGGTTTCCTCACCAGTTCTAACCTGACGCGATTTCACGGATGGAGGGCGGACAGTTTGCAAAATGTGGTTCTCGCCTTTGGTCCGCGCGCATTCGATTTATCAGCTTGCAGCAGTTTCACGGATGGAGGGCGGATCGTTTTCAAAATGTGGTTCTAGCCGTCGCCGTCGCGCACATTCGTTTTAAGTGTTTGCTACAGTTTCACAGATGGAGGGTTGACCGTTTTCAACATCTGGTTCTCGCCTGAGCGCCGCTCACATTCGTTTTAACAGTTTGCAGCAGTTTCACGGATGAAGGGTGGTCCTTTCTCAAAATTTCGTTGTCGCCGTACATAGCGCCGCGCTCATTCGTCGTGAAAGTTCGTAACAGACGGCAGACGGCCTTCGCTGCTGAATGGGAGCGAGGGCGAGACGAGGTGACAGCCTAAGCGTCTCGCTGCAGGGACTTGGACCCTCCTGCTGCTTGATGCTTCTTCCTCTCCTCCCTCGCTCTCTTTTTCTCTGCACGTTGTGCTGCGCAAGCCCTGAGATCCTGCGCTGTCACGATCCCCGGGCCATCCTTCGACACGGACCTGTCTGCGTGAGGGTCCCGGGTGCCCACGACGGGCGAAATCGCCCATGTGAAAACCTGCGGCGCCCAGATCTCAAGACAAATGCTCCAAAGTGATGTCCCTCCTCCTCGCTACCCCCAGAGCTCTGGGCGCCTCTTCCCGAGGACCAGCTTCTCGTCCCGAGCCGTTTCTCGACGATCCCGGGGCCCGGCCTAGTGGCTCCGGGAGGTCAGGCGTGGCAAAACACACACGAGCTTCGCCGTGCTTGTCTCGCGACGCCACGGGGCCTCGCGGGGGAAGGAGAAGCGACACCACCCTTGGCATCGCTCGGACGTGTGCATTTTTCCTTCGGCGAGGACCATCGAGGAGCATCCTTGATCACTTGGCGAAAAAACCACGCACGAAGCCGAACAAAAACACAGGAAATGGACGTCCGAGCGATGGCCAGCCATGGGGGTCGCCTCCAGCGAGGAGGTCCACGATGCCTTCCCGAGCTGGGAAAGAGCGCCTTCTGTGGACGCTTGGACGGGGGGGGGGTGTTCGAACCGCCTTCCCCCCTTGAACTGCCACTGGAGAGGGGGGTTCGAACTGGGGGCTCCGACCCCCCCTCCTCGAGGGGCGGGGGTCAAACCGCACCCCCCCCCCTTTCCATGCATTGCAGTGGGGGGAGTTCGACCAGCGACGACGGCGAGCGCCGGCGCCGGCGCTGGCGCCAGCGCCGGCGCCGTTGGGCAGCGACGACGACGACGATGACGACGACGACGACGCCGATCGAACCTTAGTCCGATGATATTCTGGCGGGATCGAGCCCCAGGGAAATCGTATCATATTTTGATAGATCCTGGGCGCGAGCTAGTCAGAGATGGATCCGGCTACAGTAGCTAACTCTCATTAAGCCGGGTCGAGCCTGAGTAGGACTCAATGAGAGTTGGATCAAGCTGTTAGAGCTGGATCGAGCCTTACTTGGATTCAAGTCCGGCTGGGTCAAGCTGTAGTAGGGTTCCATTCGATTTGAATCGAGCCGGGCTTGGATCTTCAGGCGCTTCAGATGTGTAGGTGGGGGGCAGTTCCGACGTGTCCAAGGATTTATCCCAAGCAACCGTTCACGAAGCGCGTTCTCTTCGACACGACGATAGGGAACGTCTCGAGCGAGAGGGGGGGCACCACGCCACCAGGGGGACCTTCCCGTGGCCCCCTCCGCTGATGATCCCTGGCAGTGGTGCCGCTTTGCCTTGTCCCGCGGTCTGTGTCCCGCTCCCGTCGCCCGCGCTGTCGGAGAGCAGCGGCTCGGCCTCGTCGCCGCCTGTGGCGGAGCCCCGGGATGCACTGATCTGAAGGGTCGAAGTGGGTACGGGAATCGCCAGCGGACTCGCCGGTGTTCTCATGGTTCCTGGTTGTACGACGGTCGCCTGGGGGAGGGGGTGTATCTATAAAGAAGGAACAGTGATAAACTTATTTGAAGGGGAAGAAGGGGGTTGGAAGAGGAAGCTCTCTAGACCACCCACAACCCAGGGTGCAAGGGCGAGAGAGCGGAGCTCGCTGTCGGTGGCGTCGCGGGCGTTGTCCGCGTGAGGATTAAAAGGCCGCCTGCCCGGCAGCGGTCGCTGTCGGTTCTCGGACGGCATTTGACGTTGGGCCCCACCTTTTTCGCCCCATCATCATGCACAAACATCTCCGCCCAGCCTCGAATACGCAAAACCCATCCCGATCCCGAACCATCTCCTCACAACAGCGGGGATTGGGGCGGGATAGTTAATGTTAGGCGGAGTAGAACGCCAGGGGACGGACTATCGGGTGTTGGTTATAGGGAATCTTAGGGGCGTGGGAATTTCGCTCGGGAGCTTCCGAACGAAGTGAACCCCACCCTCCCCCTTAGAAATCGTGCCCATCTTTTTCCCAGGGCTGGACCTAAACGGTGTTTTTGGCGATTTCCTGGGCCGGTTTCGTTTCGACCTCGTTTTGAGGTAAAGGTGGGCTCGAGACTGCAGCGAGGGAAAACGAACACAAAACGAACACGAAAAGCACCGCTTAGGTTCAGAACGGGAAAACAAACACAAAGACGAAAACGATAAACACGAAAGGGAAAACGAAAACACAACGAAAACGAAAACGAAAAACACCGAAAACGATAACGAAACACACAACGAAAACGAAAACGAAAAACACCGTGCCCGCCTCGGGCGTCGGAGCGTGAACGCGGGCGGCCGCCGCTGTCGGCCGGCCCGCGCCCGCCTCCGGGGGCGGGGGGCGGCCCGTGCTCGCCACCGCGCCACCGCGCCCAGCGGGCGCGGGGGCGCTCGCAGCCGGTGCTCGAAGCAGGAACGTCGCCGCTCGTCGGCCTCTGAAGTGTCGAAAAGCCAGTCGGCACGAGAAATTTCGATTGGGAGATCAGCTACATAATCGATTTGCTCCCAATATTTGTTCGTCGGATCTACCAGTAGATGTAGAGGGTCCGTAGAACTACGAACATTCAATGTCTTTTTCGTAGGTTCGACGGATTTTTAATTCTAAACGCTTCGCGTATCCCCACCAGCCCGTCCAGAAATGAGTCCCAGGGGAGTGGAGGTGATGAGGGAAGCGGGGGAGCATGCAGAAGAACAAAGGACGGGGTAAGCCGCCATATACCCCAAGAGGGGGAGGATGTAGGAGGAGTCGTCGTCGTCGGAGTAGGAGGAGGAAGAGGAGGAGCAGGAGGAGGAGCAGGAGGAGGAGGGGGAAAAGGAGGAGGAGGAAGATGAGGATGAGGAGATGGAGGAGGGCGAGGACGTGGAGGACGAGGACGAGGAGGAGGAGGAGGAGGAGGAGGAGGAGGAGGAGGAGGAGGAGGAGGAGGAGGAGGAGGAGGAGAGGGAGGGGGAGGAGGGAGGAGGAAGGGGAGGAGGAGGAGGAGGAGGAGGAGGAGGAGGAGGAGGAGGAGGAGGAGGAGGAGGAGGAGGAGGAGGCAATGCTAATTCCCCCCCCCCCATTCTTTGATAGATCTCCTCCAACATGGCCCCAAGAGCGCCCCGAAGGCTCCCAAGAGCGCCCCCAGAGGGCCCAAGAGGCGCCCAAGAGGCCTCCAAGAGGCTCCCAAGAGACCCCCAAGAGGCCCCAGGAGGCTCCCCGAGATACGCAAGAGGACCCCAAGACCGCCAAGAGGCCCCAAAGACGGCCCAAGAGGCCCCCAAGCTCGTGTGTCTAATTCATGGCCTTCTGCCCTATCCCGCCATCGTGCCTGGGCTGTGGGTATGAAGTCTATTGGATGTTCGCTGGGATCTCGTGGGGGGCCTCTTGGAGGCCTCTTTGAGGCAGTTTGGACGCCTCTTGGGGTGCCGTTTGGGGGCCCCTTTGGGGCATCTTAGGCGCCTCTTGGGGCCTCTTGGGGGCCTCTTGGGGGCCTCTTGTGGCCTCCTGGGCGCCTCTTGGGGCCTCCTGGGGGCTTCTTGGGGCGGGGCTCGGAATTCGGTTCGTGTTCCTTCTCTTCGGCCACTATTGGGGCCGTCTTGGGGCCCTCTTGGGCCATCTTGGGCGCCTCTTGGGCAATCTTGGGCCGTTGTGAGGCCCTCTTGGAGACCTCTTGGGACGGTCTTGGGGGCCTCTAGGGACGTTTGGGAGCGTCGGGAAGCCGAAAAGGCGAGACAGCCAACAACCTTCAAAAACCATTGAAAAATCCATGATTCTGGCCTCCGGGGCCCTCTTGGGAGGCCTTTCGGAGGCCTCTTGGGGCGTCTTGGAGGCCTCTTGGTCCGTCAGGGGGCCTCCGTGAGCGTCTTGGAGCGATCGTTCGGCGACTCGGGGCTCTCTTGGATCGTCTTGGAGGCCGGTTGGCATCCTCTTTTGGTCCGTCTTGGGGCCCCCTTGGCCATGGAACAGCCATGCGACCTTTTTTTCCGGAGCCCAGCGGCGACGCCAGGAGCCCCGCCAAATTCCAGACTCTTCCGGACTGAGGACTGAGGCGCTAGAGATTCGGTAAAGGACCTCAGGACACGCCCATTCCGTGCCCAGAGGCACGGTGGCGGATGTGTGTGTGTGTGTGTGTATGAGTGTGCGGGTGCCTTCTGCGCTTGCCTCCCCGGCGGCCCCAGGCGGCGTCCGGCGTTCGCACCGTGGTCACAGCCCACAGCACCGCGCAGAAGCAGAAAAAGCCCGTCACGCTCGGACTGGGGGGAGGGGCCCTGCCCTGAGATCCAAGAGTTGAATTTTCCACTCAGGGGAGGGAAAGATACTGATACCGCTGCTCATTCTGGAGAGCCTCATAGCTGCTACCGGACTCTCTTCGAAATCCTGGTCAGAACGCACCCTGGGAGAGGTCCAGGGAGTATAATCAGCGATGTGGGCGTTTTCGCTCAGTTTCGGGCCCCAGGAATACCACAGATCGATCCGGCTCGAGAAATGCAGCAGGAAGATGGGGTCCAGGGCTGCGGTCGTGATATGTCGCGTTGTCGCAGCTTTTTTGCAATGTCGGATCTCGGGGTGCGGCAGCACGGAGGGGCGTGGATCGGCCTTCGCGGCGAAGAGTGGAGTTAGGCGTCGAGGTTCGAGAATCAATTTTCCGTTTGGTTTTTTGGAATGTCTTTTGGGGCTTCAGGGGCCTTGTCGTTACAACTGGCTCCGCCTCAGGATTCTGGTCGGAGCGCGCCTCACGAGAGGTCTCTGAGCAAATTTGTTTTCGGACCGGCATGGAGACGTGACAAGGATGTCCTCAGTGACATTCGACACGAACGAAATGGGTATGGGAAAGAATGGGTACGAAGATCGACAGCGGTGCCTGTCCATTTTGAACAGGGCTCGCTGTCGGTGTTGCCTCTGGCACGGTCCATTTGACGGGGGGCCGCCTGCTCAACAGCGGCCGTTGTTGCTTTTTGGGGCAACATGAACATGTGTTGTTGGGCATCGTATCCATTCTTTCCGTACCATATCTCAGAGCGTGAATTACCTCCCCCGCTTTCGCTTCCAGGCAAAACCAAGCCATACCACGCGCCTCCTCGTCAAGCGGCCTGACCAGTACAGGCCGCAATTTGGCACCGTTTGGTATCTCTTGGAAGCGAGGGTGGTCAAAAGCGAGGGAGGTTTGTTTTCCCCCGAATATCGAGCGTCAAAAGACGTGGGCCTCAGGGGGTCATTAGGAAATAACTCGGGAGGAGACGCCGGCCCATGAGGGGGAGGCCTCCCGTCGGGGGAGGACAGCCTATGCAGGGCCGCCCGGTTCCTCCCCCTCCGCTCTGCAAGGGAATGGGCAACAATGAGATCAGGGAAGAGTGTGTGTGTGTGTGTGTGGATTCAGAACTGTGCACGCCTCCTCCCCCTCTGGCATTGCACTGCACGGGCTTCCGTCAATCCTGCGTGCTTCCGCCATCGCGGTTTTTTTTTTGTGTGCGACGGCGTCCATCTAGGCCACACATCTTCTACGCCAAATGGTAGTTCGCCTGAGCGTATGCCAGCTTAGCGTTCGCGACGGTGCAGCCACCTTGCCCCTGGACGACAAAGGGCGTGGATGTGTGTGTGTGTGTGTGTGAGAGTATGTGTGTGGCTGCGTCGGCGTTAAGGGCCAGTATGTGTTTCGGTGAGAGCGTGCGTGTGTGCGTGTGTGTGTGTGTCTATGTGTGTGTGTGTGCGTGTGTGTGTGTGTGCGTGTGTGTGTGTGTGTGTGTGCGTGTGTGTGTGTGTGTGTGTGAGTGTGTCCGTTTGGTGTGTCGCGCTCTCGCTCGACCTGTACTTCGCCTCGCCGCTGCGCGCGTGGTCGCGACGCCAAATTAGTTTATGTGTGTGTGTGTGTGTGTGTGTCTGTGTCTGTGTCTGTGTCTGTGTCTGTGTCTGTGTCTGTGTGTGTGTGCGTGTGTGTTTGTGTGTGTGTGTGCGTGTGTGCGTATGTGCGTGTGTGCGTATGTGCGTGTGTGCGTGCGTGCGTGTGCGTGTGTGTGTGTGTGTGTGTGTGTGTGTGTATGGGCATGCGCGTGTCGGCGGCGAGCG